GACTCGACGGCACTTAACAACAACAACAATACAGGAAATTATTTAAAATATCTTGTATGTACTGAGAGTGTGTATTTATAGTAATAAATAATTACTAAACTTTGCATATCATTAATTATAATGAGCATATATAAAATTTTGTTGTTTTAACATTTCTTCAAAGGAAATTTGAGAGTACCTTTTTAGTATTTTTAGAGACTTTCACATCTAAAAGGTATTCTTCGTAATACCTATCATTCATGGTATTCAGGTTTGGGAGATGAGAGAATTGTCTCAGAAGTGTCTTGTGGTTATTTAGTTGCAGAGATTAGAATAATTTTGCTCAGTGTATGTCAAATGCAGTTCAGTGAAGCTACAGATGGTGTGCATCAATTTTGTAGCTAGATTATAAGGTAACACAGTACAAGCCAGATGAGTAGACAAATTACAATGTATATTGTATGTTCCAAAGAAAAAAAAGGTTAAAATGTTGCTTCTATTTGTTAGTCCATTCCCTCATCCTATGAAGCATTTTAGTATAGACAGAATTTTAAATTGAAAAGCTATAAATTTGAGTCTAGAAATCTATAAAATCTGCATACAACTCCAACCCTCCATACCAGCTCACTTCAACTCTGTGCTTGAGGGATAAGGAGAAAGCTGACAAAACAAGTGTATCAAGAAAGAAGAGGGAGATGGGAAGATTCTGAGAAAGAGGTAGGGTGTGTGATGTGTCAGTGTGTGCCTGTGTGTCAAGAGGGAGAGGGAGTGCCAGGTGGGCACAGGAATTGAAAAGAGGGTTAGGTGTTTGTCTAACATGAAGAAATGAAGGAAGAGAGATGATGAATAAAATTAGGAGAGTTCTGATAGCATTCTTTATCCCTCTCTGTTGCCCAACCTAGACAGTGAGAAGAGGAATACTTAGGTGTTTCTGTGTATCACACAGAAACCTGTTGATGTTGTCCATTGGCCTAAATAGCTCTTTCCTAGGTGTTTTTGCTCCTGGGTTGGGTCACCAGAGGCTTAATGAAAAAGACAATAGAGAGGCCGGCACCACACACAACTGTTACACATAAATCCCATATCTGTTGCTGTTGAGTATATTCCAACTCATAGCAACCCTACAGAACACAGTGGTACTGCCCCTTAGTGTTTCCAAGGGCTCCTTTACTAAAGTTAAGAAGGCAGCCTATTTTCCATTCTCCATAAATTGTAGGTAATGATATAATTCTGCTCATGATTTAAACATATTTGGTCGACTATTGTTTCTCTTAAAACTTTTGAAACTATAATAATAAGCAAAAAGAGTCTTATTTTTTTAACTGTTTTATTTTGAATTATGTAATAGTTTACATGGGAGAACATTAGCTTTACATTCATCCTATCGTATATCGTTACATTGCCATGGTTATAATCCCCTCCATGCATCATCAACCAACCAAAGGGTATGCTCTGCAAGCCTGCCCCCCGGGTCAAGCACACAGTCCCTCTCCTTCTCTGGGTCTAGAGTCCCCAGCCACTCCATCTCTCCATGTCATTGTCTCTGCCTTCATCTCTGGTGTCACTGTTTCTCTGGGTAGGGTCCCGCACTCCGCTCTTCTTCCTTGATGGTCCCAGGGGCCTCCGTTCCTGTCCTACAAAGTCAACCACTTCCTTCCTTTTGCTACAAAATGTCTACCTTTACATTTCCAACCCTCACAGTCAGTCCTGATATTAATTATTCACTATTGTACCACATGAGTGCTGTCCCCATCTCCTTTCATCGGTCTTGCCCAGATGGATTAGATACTACTCAATGGAGATTATACCTTCCTCCGTGCTCTCTGGATCTAGGCTTCCTCTTGAAAGCTTGTAAGCCAGTCACTTCTTGCCTTTGTAGTACCCACCCCACCCTCATTTTAGGAAGCCAATATCCAAGTTGTCCATTCCTGTCTACCCTGTGTATTGAGTGGGTGGGAATGATCCTCACTATAAAGATTTGTTCCCTCTTTTGAGCTACTGCATCCATAGGTGTAGGTCAAGTTCATCAAACTGTATCAGATTACTCTTTTTTTCCTCTTATTTCTTCTTCTAGTTAAGCTCTGATCATCCAGCCATTGAAGCCAGGTCAAGTGGGTATTATCTGCAAGTGTGGGTGTTCTTGTAAGAGTCTGTTATTTTAAATATATTATATCTAATTTTTAAAGCAAGATCATACTGTTACTTTTGTTGTTGCTAGTTGCCATTGTACCAATTCTGAGTCATGGCAATCCCGTGTGTGCAGAGCAGACAGTTCCATAGGGTTTTCAAAGCTGTAACTTTTGGAAAGCAGATTGCCTCTGGGTTAGTTCAAACCAGCTGTTTGGCTACTAGTCAAGTGTTTTCAATACTAGCCTTCTAAAATGAATTTGGAAGTTTTCCTTCTGTTTTATTTTATGAACTAAATTATTGAGATAAAAATGGTTTGCTCCTTCAAAGTTTGGAAAACTCACCAGTAAAGTCACTTGAGCTTTGGAGTGGAGACAGGACATGGAACTGTGACAGCTCCGATCTCCAAGTTCCCTTCTACATGTTTTTGTCTATTCCACATCCCAACCAGACTGGGGAATACCCTGATACTGGCCCATCCATCCTTGTAATGCTCAACTTCTGCTCAGGTTCTGTAACTTGAATGCTAAATAGTAATTACTTTCATGCAGAAACTCAGTCTTCCTAGTTTAAAAAAGGAAAAATAAGAGAGCTTGACAAAGAAGCTTTTCTCAGTAGTGGTACCCTCTGCCCAAGCCATCATTTTCATCCTGTGCCAGGTCATACCACTACCTTTGCCTCCCTCATGGCTCAAAATAGTGTTCCTTTTATCTATTCAATCCTATCCCTACAGATGGAGCATTGATTTTGGAGAGAGCTTGTGATCTTGTTCTACAGCAGCAATTCATTTTCTGTGAATACTACTTATCAGTAATTGCAAGCTTAATCTGACTAGGTCAGATACTATAAGGTATATTTCTGTGTGTATGTGACCCTCATGATTACATAAAATAGGTATATAAGTATTATCTCCACATTTTCATTATAAGGAAATGAAACTGATCGTTTTAACTAACTCATTCAAGTAAATAAATAATAAGTAACAGAGCAAGGACAAAATCAGTTCTGTCCCAAGTCCAGAAAATACTAACATGCTCAATGTAAAATGTAATTGTCTTAAAATACTTGGGGTATTGTGTACTCAGAGATATATACCCAAATCTTAATAAAATTTCTCTTTGAAATGGTGGTGGTGGTGGTGGTGGTGGTTATGTGCCGTGTGGTTGATTCCGACTCATAGCAACTCTGTACAGGGTTTCTGAGGCTGTAAATCTTCAGGGGAGCAGAAAGCCTTATCTTTCTCCTGCGGAACAGCTGGTAGTTTCAAACTGCTGACCTTGCAATTTACAGCCTGATTTTTAATCACTGTGCTACCAGCTCTGTAATATTAGTATTTATCTCTAGCAAAGCCACAGGATCACAGGTTTTGATAGTTCTTCCTCAGGACTCTAGATTTGTTTCTCAAAACTGCTGAAGAAACCTCTGAAAACTCTCATCTGGGCTCCTTGATTGAATTCCTGTGGTGTTTATCTAAGATTTAGTTGCTTGTCATCACTTAAAGATTGACTCCTAAGAGTTTCCAGAAATGTAGGAAATGAGTTACCGTCTACCCATCATCCACCTGCATGTTACAGACTCTATAAATCTTGTAATTTTCTTCTTCTTCCCTTGACAAGAGCCAGAAACAGGAGCTTCCTCTGTATCACCATTATTCTGGATCTCTTGCATTTTTCACCTCTCATCTGTTGCGAATTATTCAAAGAACTAATCTCTGTTGGTTGGTAGAAATAAAATGTATAAAGTTAGTATATTTATGCTAAAGCAGAAATACCTGGAAGAATGGTACCAGAAAAGAGAACACTGAAAGTTTGATCACGGTTCATTAGAAACTGAACTGCCCATTTAGATGGGATCTCCTGCTCAGGTTGTTTACTTGCATAGATTTTGCTCTTCTAAATGGCTCAACTTCCTACACTCTCGTTTCAAAGAGGTTTTAATTTTCTACTTAGCATTTTTCCTAGAGCTATATTTCCAACTTAGAATTTTCAGATCAGAAAACATAATATATTTTGCTTTGTGGGTTTAATCTACATATTAAAAAGTATTGTTTTTATTCTTATTTTAATGTTTTAAGTTTGATTCACTAAAGTAGTACATTTTATCAATCAATTATATTTGGGTGGCATTTGTCAGAGATGGAATATTAGATGGTAAAGGCCATTGGTTTCACTTAAAGTATGTCATAAGTTCTTCTTTTATTCTGGTCCTCTGCATAATCTTCTTCAGGAGCATAAATAATTGGAAAAATAAGCATTACAATTGTTTCACTGAGAATTTCCTATGTGTTTAAGCTTCTGGTAGACTATGGATACAGATTTTTCCAATTCTATCATCTGTATGCATAACGAATGCTATGAAAAAATTTTAAATCTTGTTCTTGTTACTATGGATATTATGGCGTTATGGAAGAGTAATCAAAGAGTATTTTGTCCTGTAAAGTTTGGCTGGCTTGCATTGTGGTTTTAAAATGCTAGGAATTAACTGATTATCCAGCAGGTGGCACTGTTAGTCCTTGGACGCCAAAGTTCACAGTTTAGTAACTGTTCCTTTGCATTGGTTACAGATCATAACAGAATCCATGCCACTGACGTCTTACATGCTGTTTGGTTTCTTACTACACAACCTATTCCAGGACTCTCAACTGTGATTAATGATCACGGGTCAGCGAGTGATTCAGGTATTTTATAAAGAGCAGTTGCGTTCCCTTGGGAAAGACTTGAAGCAAAGAGCATTTGAGTTTTTACCTTTTTTTTTTTTTTTAATTTTATTTTTTATTTAAAGAATGTCAAAGTAAATAACAGTTTAATGTTTTTATTTTTTTTTATAAGATTTCTATTGCTTCTCTTCTCAGATTCTGACAGTGGATTTACACATGGACATATGGGATATGTATTCTCAAAAATGTATAGTGTCCTAGATGATAAATACGGATGCTTGTCTGGGAATATCCCTGCCTTAGAGTTGATGGCATTGTATGTGGCTGCAGCCATGCATGATTACGATCACCCAGGAAGGACTAATGCCTTTCTGGTTGCAACTAGTGCTCCTCAGGTAAAGATATTTTAAGTTTTGATTAGTAGAAAAAGAATTCAATATAGGTATTTCTCCAAAAAAATTTAATTTTATAAAATTGAATTCTAATAATCATGAAGTAAAAGCAAGCCAAAAGTATATGGTCAAACTGTATAGAACTCTGATGTGGTACTGTAGGATAAAGCATTTGACTGCAAAGTCAGTTTGAATTGCAAAATCAGCAGTTCAAACCCACTTACTGCTCCTTGGAAACCTTATACAGGGTCACTCTAATTTGGAACCAATTTGACGGCACTTAACAGCAACAACATACGCCTAAATTATATGGTGTAGTGTGGTAGGACGAGCACTGGACTGCAAGGTTGGCAGTTCAAACATGCCAGCTATACAGAGTCACTATGAGTCAGGACTGACTGACTGACTGACTGACTGAGAAGTGTTAAGTGTCAGCACTTAACAACAGTAACAATAATATCTAATCATAGACAAAATTATTAGCGACCATGCTGATTCCAAAAATAAGTCATAGTTTGTTTCAAGACACTAATAGTAGGTACACAACTTTCTTTGTCACCTATGGGAGGCCTTCTCAATTCAAGAAAAATGATTTGAATTAGTATCAATGAACCTCCTTAAGGAAGAGAATCAAAACTACACAAAGTCCCTTTCTGTAAAGATTAGAGAACCAAATCTTTCTTTGAGTTTTAAGAAAGAATGCAAGTCTTCTTTGTACATAAATCACACTCCTTTAAAATATTTTGTCATAATTATGATTCTTATTATGGCCTATCAATTGGTCAATGAAAATGAAAAATCAGTTCACTTTATTAGATGAAAATTTTCTACATGAAGATAGATCCCAAAACAATGGAGAACTTTAAATAAGTTCATCTTTATGTATTTTTAGTCAAAGCCAAATCTGTTAGTAGTTTGATGAGAATCAAACTCAGCCATTTCCCCCCTTGATTTGCACATGTTAATAAACATCCCAAGATCATGTGGTCTTCTTTCTAGAAGATTTAGAGGCCAATCTGGTACCATATTTGAGTATCTTTTTTTGGTTTGGTTTTTGTTATTTGCCTTACTGCCACCTTTCCCCATAGCCTCTTTTACAGCCTTGTCTACAATGTTCCTCTAATCTTTGTACAACATAAACTGTCCTAATATATTTTTCCCACTACTAACTGTATCTTTTTTCACTGTGTCCTTTAAACACCAGAATTATTTTCCTTAAAGATTGCTAGGCAAATCCTCTTCCTAGCACAGTTTTCGATTCAGATTATCTATACACTTTATGCATTTTTATGTACTCGAATATTAATTTTCATCTCTCCCTTTTTTCCCCACTCTGCAGCCGGTCTTCCACACTAGTCTTCAAATTTCCTGTAGGCAATTTCCTTTTCTTAATGGGGTTTTCATTTGTATTATTAGACTTCCAAGCATATAGATGAATAACATGCTTATGGATGATTATGTAGTAAGAAGGATTTAATATATGTTTCTCAGGAAGTCTATTCATCCTTATTAGTTTTATACTCCTATGTGTAATTAACGTAATTCTTGTGCTACAAGCAGAATGTAACTGCATTATTTCTTAGAGAAATTGGTATGTTTAGATGCATACACTTTCAATGTTTAAGTTTCTGTGACCTACACATAAATCTTAAAAAGCTCTTTTAAGATGAGTTAGTAGTTCTCTCTTGTATGAGTTTAGAACAAAGTTTCAAGAAAAAGACCTTAACTTGCAAAAAGGAAATTAAACTGGAGAAAACTGACTTTCTTTTAGCCGCATCTATAGTAATAAGTGAATCTTAAATAACCAAGAGTCACAAGATTACATTTGTGAGTTTCATAAGAAAGAACAATATCAAAAGCATTGCAAATTCTCATTTATAAATTTTGTTTTGTTTTAATAAGTTGAACTCTTTAACTCTCTTACTTATTTGTCTAGGCGGTGCTATATAATGATCGCTCAGTTTTGGAGAATCATCATGCAGCTGCTGCTTGGAATCTTTTCATGTCCCGGCCAGAGTATAACTTCTTAGTTAACCTTGACCATGTGGAATTTAAGCATTTCCGTTTCCTTGTCATTGAAGCAATTTTGGCTACTGACCTGAAGAAACACTTTGATTTCGTATCCAAATTTAATGCCAAGGTAAGTAGACTTGTACCATTTCATGGCCATAATTGAAAGATGTCAAAAAACAAAAGTCTTGAACTGAATTTATTGCTGTTGGCTGTTCCATGTGAAATATGAAAATACAATGTTTAGTCAGAAACAAATATAAAAGCATTGACCCCAGTTTAGAAATCTAGAAGTTGAAGTGCTTTCTGTGTAAATTATACTTTGTGCTACAAAGTAGTAATAAGACTCTAACTATAGTTATGATATAATTCTCTTATACCTATCATCTTTGTCATTTAACACAATTTTCTCTTATCCCTCTGGTCTGTTAACATAAATTTCTGAAACAAACTTCCATACATTATATTCAAATCTTAATTTAAGGAAATATTATTTGTAGCTGCATACTTTAATGGCAATTGATAATAGAATTTATTGGTCAGTTCTATAATTAGTGGGGTCATGGTCTGGTACTGTAAAATAAGCCCTGTTTACTTACTGCAAGGTTGGTGGTTCAAACCCACCAGTAGCTCCTTGGAAACCCTACACTACATCACTCTGATTTGGAATCAGCTCAACAGCACTTAACAACAATAACATAATTAGTAATTAAATATTTTATCCATCATTGTTTATCTTCTTTTTTGGTGATCGCTTTTACTTGCTATCGTTGTAAGCAATTTAAACAACTGAGAAGTTCCTCAATACTTGTTATTCTAATCTCCACATGGTAGGAAGACAATGAATATGTTATTGTTTTCTCGCTTGTAAACATTTTCTTCCATTAAGACCAAACACATTTTAACTTTGTCCTTCAAACAGGTAAATGATGATGTTGGAATAGATTGGACGAATGAAAATGATCGTCTACTGGTTTGTCAAATGTGTATTAAGTTGGCTGATATCAATGGACCAGCTAAGTGTAAGGAACTCCATCTTCAGTGGACAGAGGGTATTGTCAATGAATTTTATGAACAGGTGAGTAACTGTTCAATCTGTCTTGGGATGGTGGTATGCCATGGAGTCGGTTCCAACTCACAGCAACCCTGCATAGGGTTATGAAGGCTGTCAGTCTTTACAGGAGCAGAAAGCCTCATCTTTCTCTTGCAAAACCACTGGTAGTTTCAAACTGCTGACCTTGAGGTTAGCAGCCCAACAACCACTATGCTTCATACTTACTTAATCTACTTGTGAACTTACCAAAGCTTTCAAAAGCCTTAAACTTCATTCTATTTCTTATCCATATTTATATCCAAAAATATACTGGCTAATTTTATCAGATGAGAGAAAATAACAGATGTAAAATTTGGACTAAACTATAACCATAAAATGCCAAAATCAAGTTTTCTGCGAACACCTGCAGTGGGGGAGATATTGGGATAATAGAATGACCTATTGAGATATTAGGCAAATCCTTGCAATGCTATTCTGTAGCCCTGGTGTAAAAGCACTGCAGGATAAACACTTGACCACAAGGTCAGTTTGAAGTGCAAGGTTGGCAGTTCAAACTCACCAGACGCTCCTCGGAAACCCTATACAAGGTTTCTATGAGTCCTAACCAATTCAACAGCATTAACAGCAACAATAACATAAATTTGTTTATGATAATGAAAATTAGCATTAATTTATGTGGAGGAATGTGACTCTAATGAAATCATTTACTTTTCTGATAAAACATCAGTAAATGATAGGATTTTTTAAAAAGGCATTTTATTTGACATGATAATATGAGAATCAAGAGACTACCAAAAGAACTACCAAAAAAAAAAAAACATTGATTATCTTCCCTACATTACTTTACATTGATCATATTATTCTTGAAGATTTATGCTCAGTGCTATGAATTCTTAAGAAAAGTTTGGAGGTAATGGAACATGGGCAAAGGACAGAGATCAGTGCCGTAGAAGAACTTAAAAGAAGTGAAGATATTTACCCTGGAGGAAAATAGAGGTGATGTAGTAACCAGCTTCCAGTATTTAAAAGACTGATATACAAATTCAGCATGAGGTTTATCATTGCGTTCTTGTGGAGATTAAAAAAGATTAATTATATAAAGTATGAAACACAAGGTCTAATTTATAAAAAAAAAAAAAAAAAAAAAAAAAGATTTCCCTCCCTACTTACCAAAAAAGGTCATGAATATGAAAATCCTTTAGAAAGTCCTGGTGGGGTACTATAGGATAAGCACTGGACTACTAATCACAAGGTTGTTGGTTCAAAATCACCAGCTGTTCCTCAAAACCTTATATAGGTTCACTGAGTCAGAACGGACTCCACAGCATATAACCCTCACCACCACCATAGAAGTTATAGGTAGATAGATTTAAGCTCAATGTCAGAAAAAAATGTATATTAGTCAAGGTATCTTAAAATTAGATATTTTTTGAAGTAGTAAATTGCTTGTCACTGGAATATTTAAACATAGATTCAGTAGACTTTTATGACTTTAGGTAAGATTCTTGTACAGAATAAAAGTTCATTTTATTAATTATATAATTTAAAAAATAATGTATTGCCATTGAGTTGATTCTGACTCATAGTGACCCAAGGAGCAGCTGATTAAGTTTGAACCACCGACCTTGAGGCTTGCAGTCCAGTGCTGGTCCTACAGCACTACACCAGTAGTCCCAGGAATTGGATTAATTTGTAATAATTCCTGAAATCCCTGAAACTGAATGAAATCCTTAAATTTAAAAATATAGAAACTATATTTACAATCCCACAATATAAACATAGGGTTGGTTACCTGTTGGGCTGATAACCACAGTGTCAGTAGTTCCAATGTGCCAGCTGCTCTGTAGAACGATGAGGTTTTCTGCTCCTGTAAAGATTCACAGCCTCAGAAACTCTATACAGAGTCACTGTGAGTCAGAACTGACTCCCCAGCACAAAACCCACCACCACCACATAAGCATAGTCACTTTTTATATTCCATCATTAATTTTGATAGATAACTTCTGGTGTACAATCTCTTTTTTTCTGAACTATTCAAAACTGTTCAAATTAATGTAATACTACTTTTAAATATGTAGATAAAAACTGAATATCAGAAGCCATGTAATCCAAGAAGATAAAATTCAACATAAATCTAGAATGAAGTAGCAACATTAATTGAGCAAAAACTTATTTTAAGCATTCTGAGAGTCAGGTGAAAAAATGAAATATGATAGACTAAGTATTTTCTGGGTTACAAAATCTCCTCTTTTTTTATATAGGTGAGAACAAAATATCCCCAGCTCTACATTTCATGATGCATTTATATTCTAACATAAGGGGTACTGACTATGTGAATAAAAATGTCATCAATTGAAACACTGAGAACCACTTCTTATATTTTGTCTTAATAAAAAAGGCAAAGCACTAAGCTCATCAGAGTGGGAAATGCCAACAAAACATTTCTGCAGGAATCTTAATGATTTGAGTAAAATCACTTAGCCATCAAGTATAGAGGGAATTTGCACACGAGTGTTTGGGTTCTTTTATATCTACTTATTTTAAATGCTAGTTAAATATTTTCTTGACTTGCATTTTTGACTTTTCTTGTCCATTTAACTTTCTCAGTAACTACTCATGCTAAATTCCTTGTTCTAGGGTGATGAAGAAGCCAGCCTTGGACTGCCAATAAGCCCCTTCATGGACCGCTCTGCCCCTCAGCTGGCCAATCTTCAAGAATCCTTCATCTCTCACATTGTGGGTCCTCTGTGCAACTCCTATGACTCAGCAGGACTAATGCCAGGGAAGTGGGTAGAAGACAGTGATGAGTCAGGAGATACTGATGACCCAGAGGAAGAGGAGGAAGAAGAAGTACCAACTGAGGAGGAAACCTGTGAGAATAATGAATCTCCAAGTAAGTTATAAAAACAGTTCCTAATGTGCTTTTCCTAGGTATGTCATGTTTCTTGGGTTTAGATGAATGTTATGCTTTACATAATTATATATGTAACTACAAATATTATCTGCTTGATTTGATTCTGGGTTGCCTTCCCCAGTATCACAATGATAGAAATTATATACTCTGGAATCTATAGTCATACTATATATCCTATGAGACCATGTTTTGTCATGAAGTAAAAAAAAAAAAAAAATGTTAATTGTTATTAGGTGCTAACAAGACTCAGCAATACTCAGCATAGCAGAACGAAACACTGCTCAATCCTGTTCCATCCTCACAATTTTTGTTAAATTTA